AAAAAGGACCACATTGTCGGTGAGAATTTAAAACAGGTTCAAAGTTGTAACTTGCCAAACTTTGAATTTAAAGGCAGAGAATGGAGCTACGTTATTGGTGGGAACATGGCAACGAGAAAAACACGAATAAATTAGTGGAATGAAAAGCGTTCGTTGATCCCTGTGGGATTTAGACTGCCGGTTTGAAAGATGAGATTTTGTTCAAGAGTTTTACGGCTTTCAGTGCTACCTACGTGTAAGGAAAGACCGCAGATTGCCATATGTTGCTTAGAATGATTAGGTAAATTAAAATATCTAGCGACTGGTTTCGATGCGTCCTTGTCATTCCTTTCCACGTCTCGAAGGTCTTCCATGTTCCCACCAATAACGTAGCTCCATTTTCTGCCTTTAAAATCACACACAACCCACAATTCCTCTAAACTTTGAATTTAGTTTGATACTTTTCTCTATTGGAAATTTAGCGTTGTCAAGATTAATTGATTAACATTACTTCAGATCAAATATAGATACAAATGCGAAAACGCACTAAGATCGCAGCATGGCATTATATCCTTACATTTGTATAGGGCAAGTTTAAAACTTCACCAGTTGTTCTCGCGACGTCCAATCACCAAAGTGGTGGAGAGGAACACGACGCTGCGTTGATCTGGATGGAAGATGTAACCAAGGACTCGTTCAAGGTTTGTTTGCGTGAGCTGCAAAATTTTGATGGCAAGCATCAAGATATCTATGTGGTAAGCTCTTTTCGAATTCTAATTATGTAAGATCGATAAAGCCTTTAGACACTTTTCTCAGTCTCGTCAAAACATCAACTTGATTTTGTATAGTAATTGAACGTCTGTATTTGTGGTTAAGCCTGACCAGAGTTCGTTGTTTAGTGAGAAAATATTTCTCAAAAACTGCTTCTCAAACAAATACGTTTCATTGCAATTAATTTTTCTTGGAAATCAAAGGTCTTTTACTCAATGATATCATTTCTAACTGATAGAAAATGAGATGATGTACTTACTACAAGTAAATGTGTTTTTTTTGCACCGCTTCTTCACAGACCTGGATGGCGTTTGCTAAGTTGCATAAGCCGCTCTTCACTGAATATGGCTCCGTAAACTTCCCAAACACGAATCCACCAACAGATGGAGACAACAATGCATACTGCGAGGTTGGTGTACAGTGATCTTCTGAGAAAATGGTTGTTTCATGCAAAAGTGCGATGATTGAAAATGAACGTTATCTTAAAAAATGTTTGGGAAAACGCAATTTCCAGAATTGCCTGATAAGTTCCGGGTTTTTTTCTACCTCCATTTTTTTACTGACAGTTTGTGCGTTTTACAAGAAGTTACAATGCAACACCATCCGTCCAATTATCAGCCAATCACAGCACAACAGCAAGTGGAAACTTGGCACCAGTTCATAATGGTATCTCTACATGGATTGAGGTAATAAGCTCAGATCTGACTGAAAATATTTGCTTGATCGACGCATATTACCTAACTATTAGCAATCCACTCTTACCCTTAATTTTTTCACGTTTTGAATTTTCCTCACTCAGGACGATTGCTGTAATCACTTTAAGTAAGAACTTTTGATTGTTTGCAGAACCTGAATGTATCTGGATTCAGAGTTTGTGCTAAGGAATTGTACGAGACCAGATATGATCCTTTGTCAGTGAGTTATGCGGTCCTAACAGGTCAGTTATTATGCCAAATACTTCCAAACTTTGAGCGACAGAGGAGATGAAATATGTTCAAGAGGACGCGAATAGAACATCCACTTTTACGGTTATATTTTCATGCAATTAAGATGTGTCACATGCAAAGACATAATAAATTTATGATACCCCTTTCAAGACTAAATAACATATTCACTTCCAGACATCTGTGCCCCCGGATGGAGCTACTTCAATGGATTCTGTTACTACACAAGTGATACTTGTGCAAACTGGACAACAGCTGTAAAAGAATGTAGACAATAAAACTCAGTTCTTGCTGATGTCAACAACAATGAAGAAAATGTTTACATACAACATCGCCATAATGGAGATAAATCCTGGCTGGGTTTCAATGACAGATCAACAGAGAGTGACTCTACTTGGGTGGATCGTCGCGGACGTGGAAATTTTACAGCCTGGGCCAACAATCAGCCAAATAACTTCAAAGAAGAAGATTGTGTGCACGCACTTGGGGTGAAATACAGCTATGAATGGAACGATGTGCAGTGTAGTGATTGTCATAAGTTTACTTGTAAGAAAGGTATGTAAATAATGTCAAGTAATGCTTTAAATATGGGACATTTATAATCTAAATTATATCAACTCTTTTCGTAGAATTCTGCATAAAAAGTAAGAACTTTTGATTGTTTGCAGAACCTGAATGTATCTGGATTCAGAGTTTGTGCTAAGGAATTGTACGAGACCAGATATGATCCTGTGTCAGTGAGTTATGCGGTCCTAACAGGTCAGTTATTATGCCAAATACTTCCAAACTTTGAGCGACAGAGGAGATGAAATATGTTCAAGAGGACGCGAATAAAACATCCACTTTTACGGTTATATTTTCATGTAATTAAAATGTGTCACATGCAAAGACATAATAAATTTATGATACCGCTTTCAAGACTAAATAACATATTCACTTCCAGACATCTGTGCCCCCGGATGGAGCTACTTTAATGGATTCTGTTACTACACAAGTAATACTTGTGCAAACTGGACAACAGCTGTAAAAGAATGTAGACAACAAAACTCAGTTCTTGCTGATGTCAACAACAATGAAGAAAATGTTTACATACAACATCGCCACAATGGAAATAAATAATGGTTGGGTTTCAATGACAGATCAACAGAGAGCGACTTTACTTGGGTGGATCGTCGCGGACGTGGAAATTTTACAGCCTGGGCCAAGAATCAGCCAAATAACTTCAAAGAAGAAGATTGTGTACACGCACTTGGGGTGAAATACAGCTATGAGTGGAACGACGTGCAGTGTAGTGATTGTCATAAGTTTACTTGTAAAAAAGGTATGTAAATAATGTCAAGTAATGCTTTAAATATGGGACATTTATAATCTAAATTATATCAACTCTTTTCGTAGAATTCTGCATAACATGTGTAACGAGCTTAAGGACACATTGCCTGTAGAGGTTAATATGGCTTGTGTAACGTGAAACGACTTGAAATATTGCTTTTCCTCCTTAAGAAGGACAACAGGTTGAATTTCAGTCCATCGCAATTAAGTCCTGGAGGCTTTGCTAGCATCCAGGTATGTTCCTTAAGGACGAGAACTTCGAAGAGAGTTGTAATTACATCAGGGAGAAGTAACAATACTCCAGGCACCAGTTGTTCGAAGGGTGGATAACACTATCCCCAGGATAAATCGCTATCCTGGCGGTGGATAGGTTTTCTATCACTTATCCGCTGAAAAGCGATTTATCCGTTGGATAGCATTATCCGCCCTTTGTATTGGGCCCGGTTCGATTTATGCCTTGGAGAAAATTATTAGCTCAGTGGTGTTGGGAAGTTTGGCCTGTAAAGCTTAATCCACACGTTATTTCATTTCATCGATAGACTTAAACGAATGCCAAAACGATTTAAATTACTGTCACAATCTGGCCACTTGTACAAATGAACGCGGCTCGCACAAGTGCAAGTGTAAAGCTGGATACGTTGGAGATGGCTTTGATTGTTACTACAGCTACGCAGGTAAAATATGTTGAGTGCTCACTTGAAATAAAGTCTAAAGCCCTACAGAAGAGCAAGGCAAAACAGAGATATCAAAGCCTTTACTAAAAAATAAATTGTAGCAGCGGAGCTACTACACTGATGCCTTTTGATTGTCCACACGTCGTACAATAAAAACAAACAACTTAGTTTATTGAAAGAATCACAGAGTTCGTTTACATGCAGCGATGGTTACTTTTGTTGGTTTCCTTTGTGGTTAGTGGATATAGAAACGATGAAAAGAGCGATGAATAAAGCGGTAAATACTGCTACAAGAAAACAACAGAACCTAACATTACAAAGCGTGTACGAATATGCGATAAACAAGAAACAGATCTCTGAAATAAATAGGAAAAACTCACATCTGTGTCCTAACTTTGATATAACGCCATCGATAGTCCTTTTAAGCCATAGAAATCGTGTCCTTGAACACTATTAGCCTTAGGAAACTTAACTTAAACATTCAATTCAAATCCTCTTTCGGAAAAACAAACATCATACAGTCTGGCTAGCGTGGTCATCCGGGACCTTCGGTCCTGATCACCGCGGCAATAAAGACATTGCGCGCTTAGCTGCAACATTAATACCGAGATGCCATAGCCTTTACTAAAACAAATACCAGAGAAAGGCGTTTGTCATTTTGCTACAATACCAAGCCGAAATTAAATTTAGTTGCCTAAGGCTGATACAGCAGTTAAAAACGTGAAGATCATTGTGATATTTCTTCTCTTCTGTATTAAGGTTTGGGTCACTCAGCAATTCTGGCCAACGATGACAATTACCTTGGAACGCTAAGCAATTGGTTAAGCCGTGTTGTGCAGAGCCAGTCCTCTTACTGGAAGCGCTGTTGGCGAGCATCAGTGGATGGATGGCCTGCCTCTACCTTCCACTCACTGTGTGACAACAAAGGGCCGACAGTGACCATAATCCGTGTAGGAAAATACATCTTTGGTGGATACACCAGCTCATCATGGAGTAAGGGAAAGATCGTTGAATAGATCAATCGCTTCATTTTATTTTTCCTCTTCTGAAATTTCCCTTAACTTGTTGAGACTGCGCGTGGTTAATATTTCCTAAAAACACACAACATATAGTTGAGAGTAGAGTAGAGTAGACCTCTTTTATTTATACAG